TTTCAGTCAAAATATTTCTCTTCAAAATGTGTTATCGTGACAGGCCTAGTTTTATTTAAGTTGTATGTTCAATGCTAAACTAACTAAAAGTATCTCAAAGGAGAAAGCAGGGAAAGGGCAGACTGAACAGGTTTACACAGACCAAAGTGCTCTTTTTGGGGGGCTGTGCTGGTGCTGCTGCTGCTCAGTCCAGTGACAGATGGACTGCCAGGGCAATCCTATTACCCCCATGTGTTGAGCTTCTCCTAATGCCAGCGCAGGCTGAGCGGCTAACGCAACACAATGTTTATAGGCAGGACCCAGTGTCTCTAAACAATTATTATCCTGATTTGTTTAATAACAGTGGATTAAAACCCTATCAACTGACAGGAAAATTAGTACTATAAAAGTTTTGGTTACCACACACTCTTAGCTAGCCCATAAGGGTAACTTTGCTCAGTATACTTTAGTGCATTTTAATTTTGGGGTCCTTTGATTAATGATGAATTCAATGTCCTTTGTGTCCTCTCCTCTGGTTTTATGAGCGATATACTTTTATTGGATTCATAATTGCACATATAAATTAATGTGACATCATACTCAAACCCTTTATGGATTTGGGGAAAAAAATGATCATAGCTGCTTCAAATATAGCTCATATAGTTACACTTTTTCAGTTATTTCTTAGACCACATATTACTTTTGTATATTATATAGTTATAGGCAATGATGCCCCTGGATCAATATTTTATATTTTGGATGTTTTCAATTGCAATATTTATCTAAAATGACTTATTCAAAGAAAGAAACAGCTTACTTCTATTTGAAAACAGCAGTACAGCAACATCAATGTAAAATGGTAACACACCTATACTGAATCGTACATGTCTCACCATTTAAAATCTGAAAACAAAATACATATGCACAAACCACTCAAAATACAACATTGACTGGAAAAATGAAGGGACAACAATGAAAACATATGCTTTATGTCTCTTAAAAGTTTACATAATCTCTTTTTATGCTCAGATGGGTCTTATGAATGAATGTGAATTATAGATATTCTGAGTTTTCAGCTTCTTTGTTTGGCAGTAGGGTTATCTTACATCTCTGTTTCAATCTAAGACAAGATACAGTGAATCAGTGAAGGACATGCCATAAATAATGTAAAATACATTGCTGAAAGTTATATAGATTCTTGCATTAATACTGTTGGGACAGTTAAATGTACCTGCCCAAAGTAACTGTCTGTATGTCAAAGCATGTCTGCATCATATATTGCTTGTTATGCAGACAGCACCCTCTCCTCTATTAGCCCTGCATCGGCATCTCCAGGTCAGCCAATTACCGCACATCAAGAAAACCAATTGGGCATGACTAAAATATCATTGCCATGTGATTGTGTCCCTATGTTTGGCTTGCAATCCTAATTTAACCCACTTTGTCCATATGATCGAGGAGAATTGAGGACACGCTCTACAATTGGGCTCGCTACCCCCCCAGAGCCCTTCCTATACAAGTCTGATTCACAGCAGCTGGTTTGGAGACGCACTGTCACTCGCCTTTACCCAACGGACCCTGAGATGCGGTGTAATGAACGAGAGAGTCAAGGCGGTACAAGTGGGTTTGGGAAGGGGAAAGCAACTAGTATGGGGTTAAGAAACTGGAAACCTTTCGACAAAATGCTCCGAGGATATTTGTATTAACAGGGGGGTGCTTGTCAAGCTGTGTAACAGTTGGAGTTGCTTCCTTAGTGCATTGTTGCTTTGAGACCATATTTCTTACAGCGCTATAACCATTGCGGGGCCTAACTAAAGACTTAGCAGAATTGGGAAGGTGCATTGGGGATAAGGGAGATTGGCACACAAGCAAAGAGACCAGGACGTGGGCAGGAGGGGTGGGGGTCTTATTAAGGGGCTGCATTGATCCTTTGCTGTGCCTTGGAGCAGCATCCACTTATTCCTTCATTATACAGTCAAATGTATGTGTGCCTTTAACTGCCAGCCCTGCCCTTCACTTGTCAATCTTATCCACAATATTTACACACTTAAAATGTGCACAATGTAACTTTTCTGATGGAGAGTTTGCCACCTGCTTGTGTCCATGGACATAATATTGTTGCTCACAGTATGGCATTAAACATGTAAGTTCAAGTATCCAAGTTATAGGTCTGTACTTGTAAGTTGGTATTTTCCTAAACAATCAAAAAATATTAGTACTCTATTCAGAATCATTTTAATGCATTTTATATTATTGACATACTTTGGAACATTCTTTCCTGGTAATCAAATTATTTTTTAGTGAGGCATGTGAAAGGAAGCAGCTCATTGGTCACCCATAATTTTTATCAAATGACATTTCTTTCACATCAACAGAGTTCAGTGCTTTGCTCATTGATTCCACAGAAATCCACAATGTTTTTCAGTCCGTAATATTTTTTTTTGTAATTTTCTTCTCACAACCAAATGGGATTCAGCCAAGATTGTCAAAGTGTAATGTCCAGATTATATGCCCATATACCCATGAAGAAGCTACCCACTGTACCACATGTCTTGAATAGCTCCAGTTAACAATACAATCTATTGTTTTGGTATTTTAATATCTTTCTGTCCCGCTGCTCATCTGTAACTCAGCCTTTTCGTGTGAATGCTGATTCCTTTGTTTAAATATTGATAGAGACGGGGAGCACCACTGTCCACTCAGTCAGAACCAAGAGGTCAAGGATGGCAGCGTCTCTCTGCGAATTTCATTAACGGAGCACAAGAGTGTAAATATGAAACTATGTGAATCGGTGGATCCTTGACAATGCTCCAGCGGGTTTCATTACCTCTGCCTGGATAATGCGCTGTAATGTATTCCAGTGGAGGCTTGAAGGTGATGGCCTGTAAAATAGCATGTGTAGGATGTCCCTGTTTTCTAGTGAGAACAGCCAGACCCCCGCACAGCCAGACCCCCATTAGTCCAGAGCATGGGATTGGATGTGCAAATGTCCTGTGGATTAGAGCGCTAATGCATTTAAGAGAGGGGGGTCCGCAATCTCTTTATTCGGTGTGGTGCTGTTGAGGCTCGCTGTAGTGGAGAGTGGGGAGATACCCAGGTTTCCCTTTGTGGGGACGAGGAGATTTGGGTTAAAGAGGTTAGATAAGGGCAAGGGCGCGGCAGGCAGGCACAGTCACACTGATATACACTCACATCAGAAATTAGGCTTTGACAGAGAGGCGATTTCATGAGGATTGTCTATGGCTTGGATCACAATAATAACCACAGTAAAGGTTTATGTTATCTCTTTGCTGTTGGGCTGCTTAGACAAGATACGCACGCCTTTATGCTGTCAAATTGTTTCATGGATAGTATAAGACTTCTAACGTGGCATTGATGTCTATTATGCGGCATGATAACTCCAAACACTGCTTCAGTCATATAATTTTATGGTCAGTATTATTATTCCAAGTACATATTATGATAATTTTACTTTTAAAAGCTGTTATATTTGTTTTCCCTTCTCTTCTTTCCTTTCAAAGTTGTATTTAGAGTGATTAATGCATGTCTGTGTAATTCTCATTTTCACCCCTGCTTCACACTTACTGCTTTTTACTTACTTTTTTCTCTGCAAAATACCGTAAAGTGAGAGACGTAAGTCAGCTCCACTTTCCTCAACCTGGAAGTCTACGGAATTGTTGCTTTTAATAAGTTGCAATCATAATATTGCAATTTAAAATGTTCAAAATATATCATAATGATCCACAGATGTATATTATGACTATATAGCATAGAAATTCAATATGTGTCCTGCATAAAATGTACTGGTAGTCTTAGTCTGAAGTAGAAATGGTAAAACTAACTGTTGGTTATATTTTTAGTTAAGCTATTCACTGAAGGATATGGTTCAAGGAAATACAAAACCATTTTCACTTATTATAACTTGCCCTCAAGGGTCCTGTCATTAGTAATATTGTAATTTTGGCCTAGTCAGCAGATCAGTCGGTAACTTGCTGACCTATATGCTCTAGACCAGGCAAAGACCCCGTGAATATGCTGTCTGCGCTGTTCTTAAACCCAATTGGTACTTTCCAGAAAGAGCTGCAGACTGGAGACCTACTAATCTAATTAATCAGCGTCGCTATTTTCTCTTTACCAGTGGCCTCTCTCACTTCATCCTAATCTGTTTTCTTAAATCTGTGGCTCTCCCATCATGTAATCCTTCCCTGCCACTTCTTCAGTCTTGCTGCATGCATCCACAATTAATAAACATCTGCTGTTCTAAATTGCTGCATTTAAATTTTATACTTTAGAATGACAAGCTACAAGATTAGACATCATTGCATTAGGCTTTACTGGCAACATCAGAACCACAGACATTGGAATAGCACTTTTAAAGAGAGATGAAAACATGCAATTTGACTGGTCCCACCATGTTGATAATATGTAAGACTATGCATAGCCAATAGATTGTAAATTGTAATGAATTTATAATGCAAATTGATTCTAAAAGGGAGGATTAATATTCAGCATATGTGTGCATTACTGCATATCAATAAACATGATTTTGGAAGAAAGCCAAGAAACACCTGCGCTTGTCATGTTGCAAAACGAGGCAAAATAATGGACTTAGTGAATAAGGAGAGTTCCTTTGCAGCATTATCTATCCTTGGTACGTGTTGACAGAGCAAGGTCCGGGCTAATGACCAACAACCTGCCACTATAAGACCAGAAGGTAACTGTCAGCTTTACACGCACTGCGCAGGTTGGTGGTCAGGATTTGGAGAGCACGGATCTAGAACTGCGTCTCACTCCACAGGCTGCTGCTTTGGATCGAGCGGGTGGTTTTGACGCTGGCAGGCTGCAGGCAGTATGGGAGGGGCCCGGCACCAGCAGCAGCAGCAGCAGCAGCGGCAGTGGTAGAGAGTGGGTAACTAGAAGTGCTGCTCTGCGCTATCCGGCAGTGAGTCAGCTGAGGGCGGCGGGAATGAATGAGAGGAGACAAGAGAAGGACCTCAGAGGAAACCCTGTTGGATCGGAAAGACAAGAAGAGGCGACTAAACTAAAGCGACAACGCCGGGCTGACATGAGCATAGTCAAGTGTTTGGAGCACGCTTGTTGACGCATAATCCCGCCCTCCCCATTGCCACTGGGAGGGGGCAACTTGAGCTGCCTAAACTCCTATCCTCCAAAAGAGATTTACAGAGTGCGCCACCCGCTGTTCCAGCATCTTCGAGTCATTTTTGTGCAACCCTTTTTTCTGGACGTAAATCTTCTTTCCGTTTATGTGGCTGGACTTATTCATCCAGGTTTACCGGAATCGCTCTTACCGTTGCGCGTTTTTCTGACACGACTCGCGTGTATTGACATCACCATCATCACAAGGTAATTTCTGATCATTGCGTGGAGGTCTAAAGTCATGACAGCCCCCCCGCTCGTCCCACAGCCCACCTGCTGACGGTACCGGGTCGCGGGATGATGGGAGCACGTCTGACGCTCGTTACAAGATTCAGAACCAGACGATTTCTCAATGGACGAAGACAGTGACACCCGGAAAATCAACAGCGGCTTCCTTCGCGACCACAACTATGCAACCGAAGGTATTAACACACGTTTCGTCTCATTGTGGTTGATATACCTTATAGCAGAAGTACGTGGCAGTGTAATTATATTATTAGTTTAGCACGTTAAAGCGCAAACTTGTCTTTAATCATCCGTGCGTAATATTCATCCATTTGGCGTTAATGTGTGTCTCAGGAGATGGTGAGGTGGCTTCCCATGCATCATACCTATTTTAAGATCCTGACAATTAGGACCCCTCGTTAAGCTTTGCACGTGGCAATATAATGTACTACTGTCTTTGGGTATTTGACAATTGATGAATGAATATTTGACAGATATTATTCACTTGTTGAAAAGGCACGAGACAAGGGCGGTAAAGGTGGCCTAATTTTTTGGCAGCTCACTGAAAAATAGACCTCGTTTCCCTCTCTCCAGTGCCTAAGATTTTGCATTGGGGTTTGACAATGCCACGCGCCGCATTAGAGTGAAATCCCTTATTCCTGACAGTTTTGTGCTCCTTATTTACCACAAACGAGCCTCCTGATGAGCATCCCATTAAACGTGTCTTGGTCAATACTTCGATATCAATATGGGCCAACCAATCAAACGCACTTGTCCGCCCGGAGCCTTACGCATCATTGATTATTTCTCATTACCGGCTCAGTGTTGGACATACAGAACAACTAGTGCCCTGATATCAATAAGCCAATCCAATCATAGCGCTAGTGGTAATAGCCAGACAAAGCAGAGCCTAACGTATTGTATAATGCAGTGCTCAAGTGAAATACAGTAGTGTTGCATAAAATATAAGTCTTGTTATAAATTATTGATTTATAGTTAACAATTTATACTATTTTTGCTTTTGTTCTTGTTTGGGTTTGGTGACATGTTATATCAAATATTAAGTTCTTTTTTTACGTTTTCACATAAAGGGTGGGTGAATGAATGGACTATTGGGACAAAACATATAAGTAACATTTTCAGCTTCTGTTTGAGTCATACAGTTTAATTTTAGTAATTTTAGTAATTTTAGTAATAATTTAGCAATATCTTAAAATCAATAGATGTATGTAGATTTTCATTTAGCCTACAAAACTGGCAGAATTAAGAAATTAAATTTTTAAATGTCAAGCAAAAATAACTATACCAATATCACATATAAACTAATTTCTTCAAAGATGCAGATCTACATACTGCTGAACTTTATCACGTCAGAGTTAGAAGAATCACTCAAATGTGTGCACAAGTTATACACATGTTATAAAGCATTGACTGGAAGAATTATCAATCACATTCAGTCTATCATGTTGAGGTTTATGGTGACAGAAGGGTGGGTCACATATGCCACCCTCAACCATTTTTTCCCTCAAAACATGATAAAATCCAACCCTTGAGACAAATAACACTGTCTGCATCGCATTGCTCCACTTGCCCAGCAGCTTCTTAATTATAAAAAACAGGCTAGCATCATCATTTCACTTGTGTTCGTGCACTAACATATGATTCGCTGTCACGGCTAAACACACAGTGAGTGCTTCAGAAGTAGAGAGGGGGTGGTTGGAGCGTGCTATGATGGATATCTTTGTTTGATGTGTGCAAAAAGCAGGAGGGGGATTTTCTCATCTTCTCTTCTATTTGAGGTTTCTTCCATGCAGTGCCTCTCATTTTGCATGTCTATACACTTGGCTTTGTGTTGTTTTGGGATCGTAAGATGTCTAGGGTTGTAAAAATTTCGTCTAGCCGCTGGTCCATCTGTGCTGTTCAAATACTTTTGTCATTTTATTGCTTTGATTTATAGTTCGGCGTTGTGTCTCGTATATTACTAATGTGTAGAGTTGCCCACACTAGCTGTGTCTAAGTGCACTGGAGTCAGGGATCATGCTGCTTGTGTCTGGGTCTGTCACCAATGATCATAAATTCTACAAAGTGGTAAAATGCCTTTATGCTTTTGCTGCTACTGCTGATAAGTTGAGGCCAACCAGAAGTGAAACAGGTCTAAACCCAGTCTAAACCAGGACTTCCTTTGAACTAAACCTAGAAACCACCAAGTATTACCAGGAGAACATAACTATAAGGACTACACCAGGTCAACAAAAACTTGATTTTACCAAGTCTAAACCAGTTATTCACTATGTACCTGGGTTTAGCCACTTTCCGTAAAGTTTAGCCACTTTCCGTATTCCAGAAGAGTTCCATTGTTAAAACTGATTCAAAATATTCTAAGGCTTTGAGTGGATTTCCTCACACCCAAGATTCTGAGACTAAAAGTTATTATAAAACAGTTGATGTATATTAGGAATAAGATGGACTCTATAGACTCTATAGAATCCAGCAGGTTTAACCAGGCTTTAACCTGATCTAAACTATGCTTGGTGTGAAACAGCAGGTTGTGCCAGACCACACATTCTCGTGTCAGTCCCTCATGGTGGCTGGCTGAGGTGTGAGGGGTTCCCCTCAGGCAGTGGTTGCCCGTAGCAGCGGGACACTTTAATGATGTCACATTTTAATGATGTCACTGGCGTTGACCTTTGCCTTGCTCCAATCCCACGCCTCACTGGGTCTGTGGGCGGAGCAGTGACTTTGTATGGGAGTGCACTCATTTACACAATCAGCTGGTCCCAGTATCCTCAAAGGGAGTACACGAGGATGTAACAACAGATGGACAAGCAATTACAGTTATCAATAAGTATATAAGGGTACATCAATCAAGGCACAAATGGCTTAGAGACCCAAGGAGAATCTAATAATTTACATAAGAATTGTGTGATTTCAAACTGCAACAAAGTCCTTGATAACTCATTACAGGTTTTGTGACAAACTATTCAAATTCGTGTCCACATTACGGTATACTGGCACTATGGTGTGGTAGATGATATCAGCAAGTGCAGTAAAAAATACACTCTTCATCAAAATAAATAACAGATTTAGGATTGACTGCCAGGGGCTTGCTATACTAAGTTCTATGTTTTATGTTCTATGTTCTCCCCATATCCTTATATTTTCTCTGCACTCCTGTTATCCCTGTTACCTGTTACACAATGCAAAATCCCCAATCCCAAAAAAGCCTAGCTCAAGGTCTGGAGACCTAAACCAATGTTCATGTTGACGTCATCCAATCTGACTGACCAAAGTGTTAGTGACCAAAAGATATACAACTAGGATTTGACTAGTTGACTTGCACAAATTTTTGCCCTTGTATAGCTGTTTTTTTATTTTTTTTATTTTACTACTTAGAATTTGCTTATTTGACTGGAGCAGAGAAAGCATTGTACATAGTGAAAAACAATGCCTTTCCCACCACATGCCGTACATTCTCTGAGCATATGGAGATGACGCTCTGCTAATGGTGATGGAATGGACTATTTACTACACTGCTGTGTTTGTGTCCTGTGCATATTTGTGTTTGTTAAATCATTGGACTGCTTGGCTACCCACAACAACACAAGTTCATTTTCATAATCCTGGCTTCGGATGCTTCCATAATGAATCTAAAGTGTCAAATAGCAGGTGTAAAATGTAAATTTCTTTCCCTGCTGTGAGGCCATACCCAGCAAATGCTTTGGTATTGATTTTTGGTCCTTTACAATTTAGGCGACGGAACAATGACCTAAAGGCCTATTGGTAGGACATGAAATCTATTGCGACTTTGGTTCTAATACCCCCTTCTGTCCTTATTTATCTTTCCAAATTCTGTACAATCTTGGATGTAATTTGACCCTTGTAGCCCCTCTGAATACTGATGGTGTATAGTGCCTGAGATGCCTTTATTGCTGTTGTTACTGGTATTGGAGTGGAGTGGAGTGCCCCTGCAAATGGCTCTGGGGACAGTCTGAACCAGGATTTAACCAGGTCTACTAGGAATAAATGAACCCTAAACCAGGATGTAAGTGATGTAAGACATGTGTAAACTGTGCCTAAATCAGAACTTAACTAATGTAAACCAGAACTAAACCAGTGCCATTATTATGCCTTGAGTTGCCCAGGATTAAGACGTATGTCCACACACCACAAAACTGGGACTAAATCTGGAATTAAATCAGGATTAGAACTGGACCAAAGCAAGTCTACACCGGGACTAAACCAAGAGCAAATCCCAACCAAACCAAGACCATGTGAATACAGCGTTTGAAGCCTAATTATGGACTAAACCACAGCTAGATCAGTGCTACATAAACCAGGTCCAAATCTGATATACAGAACTATGCATGGATTTAAAGATGCACTTTGTAACTTTTCTGGAAGATGCCTTGTCTCCATGGAGATGCTTTTATTTTTCCTTGAATGTTTCACAGTATTCAACTTTTATTCAGTTACAGTTTTTTATTGATGCAAAATACCATGAAAAACATGAAGTGCCTTTCAACAGATCTAACCTGCAAATATGTCACCAGCTTGTCTTCATGGATTCAGCTTTTTTTAATGTCATCCTGTAGTATCGTCATGGAGGCAAGCAGGTGGCAGACCCTCTAACAGAAAAGTGACATAGTGCACTTTTATCCAAGTATAAACCAAGACTTATATTTCAATGTCTGTTCATGTAATTAGACTATTAGCCTTTACTGAGTCCTTCAAAAATCTTCCTGTCTTTTTATTGCTGCTACTGCTGCTGCTTAAGAGTCGGTGCCAATGCAAACTGCCCCGGGGCTACACTTTAGGACCCGGCATAAAAAGACTTAGCACCCCCCGGATCCCATCTATTATTCACCACAAGACGCTGTAGCTCCACCCCGACACAGAGCCAGAGCTGTGAGTGTGTAGATGTATGCATTTGGGAAGGAGAGGGGCGGATACCGAGGGGTGCGGGGTTCTTAATGGCAAGCTGTGAAGTTGGGACCAGTAACACTCCTTATTTGGCAAGTGCTTTCATCCTCTGATTAGCTTCTTATTAAGTCTGAAGCCCCATGAAAATTTAATGAGAATTTATAACATGGTGTTGTGACTGTAGTGAGGGCTGTAAAAATATAATGGAAAAAATAGTATGTAGTGATTTGTGTTTGATGTAAATAATATTTTTTTAATGCAGAGGTCTGTAACAGGG